CACATCAGAGCTCAGTACAGCTACATGGAGGGGTGTGAGGAAAAGCCATGCAATTTGCAGATGCTTTCACCCAGAAAGACAGTAAAAACTGACACCTTTCTATGATTTGCACTGATCATTATGGTATTGTCAAACATATGGGAAATTAATAATCTATTTAAAAAGTCTCCATTGAATGCTATAATGATTTCTTTCCAGTCAGAAATTACCACTATACTGGCAGCCAGTAAAAATTTTACAAAAAGTGTGGTAGATAACTTTAGTGTTATGCACAAATGACTACATTAAATTCATTCCCAAGTACTTGCTCTAGAATTAAAATTACAAATCCCACCCTTTAATTTGCTTAGGAGTACAAGCTACTTCATCTATACACATGGCCTGACAAATTTGGTGGACTTCTGTGATGGGGTTACAGCAGTGATGGATGAGGGAAGGGCAACAGAAGTCATCTACCTGGACATGTGCAAAGCATTTGACTCTGTCCCACACAACATCCTTGTCTCTAAACTGGAGAGACTTGATGGATAAACCACCTGGTGGATAAAAAAATTGGCTGGATGGTCACGCTCAAAGATTTGCGATCAATGGCTCGATGTCCAGGCAAAGTGATGAATGACAATCCTCAGGGGGCAGTATTGGGACACCTTTGTCAGCAACACAGGCAGTGGGATCGAGTGCATCCTCAGCAAGTCTGCTGACTACACCAAGCTCTGTTGTGTGATCGAGACACTGGAGGGAAGGGATGGCATCCAGAGGGACCTTGACAGGTTTGAGAGATGGGCCTGTGTGAACCTCATGAAGTTCAACAAGACCAAGTGCAAGGTCCTGAACTTGGGTGTGGGCAATCTCAGGCACAAATACAGGCTGGATAGAAAATGGATTGAGAGCAGCCCTGAGAAGGACTTGGGGGTGCTGGTGGACAAAAAACTGGACATGAGCCAACAGTGCATGCTTGCAGCCCAGAAAATCAACAGTATCCTGGGTTGCATCAGAGATATGAACAGCAGGTCAAGAGAAGTGACTCTCCCTCTCTACTCTGCTCTTGTGAGACCCCACCTGGAGCACTGCATCCAGCTCTGAGGCCCACAGAGGATGTGGACCTGTTGAAATGAGTCCAGAGGAGGGTTACTAAGCTTTTCACATGGCTGGAGTACCTCTCCTACAAAGACAGACTGAAAGAGTTGGGGTTGTTCAGCCTAGAGAAGAGAAGACTCTGGAGAAACCTTAGAGCAGCAGCCTTCCAGTATGTAAAGTAAAGGGGGCTACAAGAAAGCTGCAGAGGGATTTTTTACAGGGGAATCTAAGGACAGAATAGGGGAGAATGGCCTTAAGCTGAAGGAGGACTGTTTAGATTATATATTGGGAAGAAATTCTTTACTCTGAGGGTGATGAGACACTGGAATAGGTTGTCCAGAGAGGTTGTGGTTGTGGTTGTGGTTGTGGTTGCCTCATCCCTGAAGTTGTTCAAGACCAGAGAGAATGGGGCTCTGAGTAGCCTGGTGTAGTAGAATGTTCCCTGCTCTTGGAAGGGGGCTTGGAACTAGATGACCTTTAAGGTCCCTTCCAGCCCTAACCATTCTATGATTGTGTATTAAGCTCCTGTGCCAGTGCTTATCTGCACTGCTATGATTTGATTGCCTGTTTTTAACTAAAGTGCAGTACAGAACCTCTGCCTTAACTATACTAAAAACTACAATTCAGCAGCAGTGTGAGTCAGACATGTTTTGCTAGGAAGAGTTGTGCCAGAACACTCTACCAGCAATGTCTTTGATCCTTCTCTCAGCCACAACCCCCTTCTGACCATTTTATTCCATAAGGATTCAGAGCCTAAGTCACCGACTGGGGATCTGTGAGATCCACAGCATATTTGAAGGGGAAGGCCACTTTGCACATGTAAACTACTCTTTCCACAACTCTTAAGGAGCATTCTTTTTCTAAAATCTTCCTTATTAGTTCTTCTATCCTTGATTTTCCTGCATCGCTTGTGCACTACAGCCCCACCATATGAGAGGGCAATGACATTAACAGATGCTGACTAGCTGGACTCGACCAAGATTTGACTTGTCTTGCAATGTTACTGGAGAATGCAACATCCTCCCCTTCACTTCTCAAAATGCAAGGTTACAAAACCAAAAGTCCCACTGTGAGTACAGAATAGAGCACAAAAAAGTAGTATCGACGACTGCCAGAAAAAATGTCATTTGCATAACCAGTCATGGGGAAAACGTTTGCCAAAAAGATACATTATTTTCCTGATACCAATCTGAAAATGCTAAAATATAAGCTGCTGAGCAGCATCAGCAGCACTGATTTGACTGAATGTATCAGAAAGGATAAAGAAATGTGAATCATTCACTTTACAGGTATCCCACCCCAGCTAAAGTTGGTTGCAGAAGGCATTTTTGTTATTTTGAAGACAGAAGCTACTTGATGACCACGTGAAAAATGCAATGAACTTCTATGATTTTATGACACACATTAAACCCAAACTTTAAGGTAGCTTAAACAACATAGATGAAGTTTCCCTTTGATCCATTCTTCCGTGACAAGAACAGTTGGTGAAACAGTTAGAAAAGGCATTACAGTTTTTTAGTGTGGGACTGAAGAATTTGTTATGGCCACATTCTGTTACTCCCTTGCAGAAAAGGAGTCAAACGCAGGTTTAGCTTCACTTAGAAACTGATGCCCTAAGGAACTGGTAAAGATGTTTGTGTATCAATCAATGAAAAAGAACATCTGTTCTTTTCCAAGAAAGAAAAGGACAAGAAAGGAAAAGGTACTTTTACTAAAAGGAAGCCAGATTATTTTCAATCTGCAAAGTCATCTCTCCTTGAATGTTATGTACACACTCCGTCAGTTTAGGGTCATTGCATTTTTTGTGAAACTGGAATGATGTTCACAATGTCTGACAGGAATTCCTACATTCATTTGTCATTGCTATTAACTAGTGTTTTAAAAACATTGTCTGCCACAAATAGGAGAAATGAATAAAAAAAGTATTAGAGCAATACATATAAAAAATTCCAAACAAACAAAAAAAACCCTGCAACTAAAATATCCACAGTAAAATGAAATGCAAAGTCTTTGCAGAAGCACACATTTAAGTTGTGAATACCTGAAAACCTGGCAATGAAATCATGAACAGCAAGTTACTTTTGCACTACACTGAGGATCTGGACAGCTCCTCAAGAAATGAAAGCAATTACAATTTAACACCACTTGTAAATACCACTTGTAATCCACAGAAACGTAAAAATGTATGTCTTGATGCTGACACACAACATATATAACAAAGGAGAACTTGGGTTAAATGAGGTGAAGTGCAATTATGATGAAGTTATAACCAAGAGTGACCATAGCTATCCAATGCCTGTCTGCTAAGCATTATAACAAACAGGACAGCATACACTTGTAACTACCATCATTTTTTTTAGATGCCCTTAGGTGACAACTCTGAAGCTGTCAATTACCTGAGAGAAAAACAACAATTCTCTGTAACCAAGCTTTCTCCTAGGAATGTGACTGATTTAACCAAACTCCAGAAATAAAATAAGGTTTTGGGGGAGTGTGCAGGGGAAACCAAGAGACCCACACATCCCAGAAAACAACCTTGTAATTAGTTGCCAGTCCAAGTTACAAATGTATAGAGGACTGATTTAACAACCGAGTCAGTCCTAGTACCAACACCACATTGGGTTCACAATTATGAAAAAGCATCATGGCAAAAGATTTAGAGAAACAAGGTCATACCCTATAGCCCAGTGATGGAAAATAAGGGTCTGGGTGGGCCAAATGCCTGTTCCTTTTATTTCTACAAAGCACTAAAACACAGAACTGAACAGTCCAATCCCTAATTAGGATGGAGAACCTTAGCACAGGACTCTTAAGCCCAAGCTGTTCTATGAATATCCACTTCATCACTTTTTACCAAACTAGCCTCTATGAACTTCATTCTCCACTCCCCAAAGAACTCAGGAAAAAACAGTATCCAAAGCCTCAAAAACATAATGGGAGGGAAAAAATCCAGCCCTGCTTCACACTAGTGATGAAAATTTTGAAAATCCTTTCAACTATGTGTCAAATAATTTTTTGCAGACATATAATTATTTATTATAAGGTTCAAAGTCAAACTCGAGGCAATGAGAATAGGTATTATAAGATGTTGAATTTCAATGTACACAGATGCAAACTAACTTCCATTTTTCTTTCCACCAGCTCTGAGAAGTTAGAGTATTTTCCTATCAATGATTAAGGAAGCAAGAATTAAGATGACTCTTACTTAAGAGCCTTACTTGAGATTCCCAAGTTAAAACTTTCAGCAGAAAGTAAAGGAAAAATATGTAGAGTGCAGAAATTTAATCAAATGGTAATCTTCTTTCATAAGTAAATAAAGTTTTGAGCAAATACGGTGTAAGGACACAAAACAGTGAAAAAAAAGGATTTGATTTAGATGCCTTTTCTTTCGGTAGCAGATCAAAAGGACTTCAGAAGTTGCCTTTACTGAAACAGAATCTCTGTATTACAGGCCTAGTTTTGTATATCTTTCAAAGGCTTCTTGACTAGAATACTGCCAACTAGGAAGGGGCCTCTGGATAATTCAGGCATGTACAATGCCTTCTGACCTCCCTAGTGTCTGCTTGGCCTTTTCCACTGATGAAAGAAACCCAACTTTATTTATTTATTTTCACTCTTCGAGATGTGCATTCCTAAACTGATTATTTTTTTTAGTACAATGTCACATAACTGTAGGTAGTATAAACTTAGAATGCCATACAACTTTACTTTTTCCTCACTTAAGAAATCAGAACCTAATTTAAAACTACAGGATCATAGAAATACCTATTCATTTCTGAAGCTACCAGTACATGAAATACTTAAACAGCAAAACAGACAAGAAAAAGCAAAATATCAAGTTCCCACAGGCTACAGCTTCAACATTTCTTCTGATTTTTATCTCCTCATTGATAGGCAGAGAGGCCAGCAAACATTCAGCATACCTGCTCCGACTTCTTTTTCTTCTTCTTCAATGTTGTTTTTGATACTGTCGTACTCCTCATCGATTGCCTGGTTGCCACGCATTTGAGACAGAATTCTCCGTGCTCTCTGAGTCTGGCCTTTCTGAATGAGCCAGCGGGGACTTTCAGGAAGAAACAGGAATCCAAGAAACTGTATAACCGCTGGAATAGCCGACAGGCCCAGCATGTACCTGGAAATAAATAAGCAAACAAATAAATATCTATTATTTGCCTAAAAAAACATGCTATAAGAAGATTCAGTTACAGCTACTGACACTGCAATTTACAGATCAAATCCTCCTCTCTTCACATTCTTTCTCACTGTAAGTTAAGGGGGCAAGAATCATATATTCTGCAAGGTCATCGAAAATATGACCCTTTCTTTCATTTCCAGGAAATCTGATGGATATGTTGACTATTCTGCCACCACTGACTCTCTGGTCACTGGTCCTGAGGACACTAAGTCAGACTAAATGAAAACCCTGAAATTTCACTAGTTTAGAAACTGATAAACCCTTCAGTGAACATAATCAGCAGAAAGAGAAAGCAAATGCACAGAGAAAAAATGGGTACTGTTGATGTCAAAAACGAGACCAAAATACTGCTAATTGTTTCACAGACATGAATAAAAAACAAACCCCAAAACCAGACAAAAAAACCAAATGCATAATTTGGTCAGTAATAGACGTGTGGCCATTTTATTTTTGAAAATTTCTGTCTATAAGCAAAAACACTGAAAAAAGATCATTTCACCAGCACAGCAATTTATACCAGATCTTTTAGAGAGTCTGTTTTTAAATCTTCAGATGCAATGTTAGGTTTTAAATCAAAACTGTATTTTAGATGCCCAGGGGGTTATTATTTACAGCCTTAAGGCTAGTTCTCTACTCATCAAAGACTTTCCACTAGTTGCAGAGTTATGTTTCCAAGAATCAGCACTGACACCTGTGACAACACCCAGGGATACCATTATTCAATCCTTTTAAAGTGAGGTAAAAGAGTGTGAAAGACAAGCATACTACCAATTTTCATGGGTGGTTCTGGTCTATACACTCCATGTTTTTATATTCCTTCAATAAAACTCTATAAAGATAACAAGAATTGTGGAACAATGTAAAATTTTGTTCTGCTTTTTAAATCTCACCTTCTCCCATTTACACTTCACTGAGATTTTTTTCACTTCCATTAAAGAATTTAAACAGTGCTGGTGTCACCTGTACATTATTTCACATCAGGAGACAGAGCCACTAAAACACCTTGAGAAACCAGCCCCTCTGAATACCGAGGTAGCCTGTACTCAGGTTCACACCTCGAGATCAGTCAGGAGACTAAGGAGATTTGCTAATCTCTCCTCTATCTCCTCTCTTCATACCCTAGGATACATGTTTTCACACAGGTGAATCAGCAGTCTCTCACCTGGATGTTTTTACAAAGTATGCTATGAAATGAGATTGCTAATAGAGTAGGAAAGAAAGCACAACCATTATTGAAAACCTTGTTTTGGGGCAACGAACCAAATGTATTTGTTAAGTCCAAATGCATTTTGAGTGAAAATGGAAAAACACTTTCTTAGAGGCATTTGTGGATTTAAAAAAGAAAAATGTGAGCAGTACAACATTTTGGAGAAGACTGGAGAATGGTGAAAAGAACACCGAAAAGGCAACACAAAGAGGACAGCCATCCCAGGACGATGTGCATGCTAGGCCAGCCTTCCCACCCCCAAGGTGAGTCCTCAAGTCCTTCTTAAAACCAGCCAAAATTTCCGAAAGTCATACAAGAAAATCTTGCTCTAGAAAGAACTCTGTGAGCAACTCTCTTATTTTGTAACACTTTAAGAATGGTATAATTCATCATCAGTTAAAAAAGGAGAAGGATAACGAAGAAAATGAATTAAAAACATAAAGCTTGTGGAAGGCTTATTAGCTGAGTAGTCTTCAGCCAACATATCTTCACTAACATTCTCATGCCTCATTCACTACTGTTCTCATTCATTAATGTCCTCATTTCTTCCTATGCTCTTCTCTCTCCACAAACATTTTGGTAACTGTATACAGAATTACCTTTACACATACAGTATTGAAGCTCACCAAATTGTATATTCAATATCTTCATTGGAGTGGCATTTAGAAAGCCTTTTCTGTTTCAAATGAAGAGTAAAACAAGCCCATAGAGATTAAGAACACCATTGCTGTATTCTGTCAAACTGGAAACCCTTTAGTCCCTTACATGCGGCAGAGTATCCAGAACTAAGCAATTGGGTACCTGCAATCACCTTAGGAGGCAAAATCAATGGAGACTCCTGAAAGCTTGATCCAAGGCTGTTAAAGCTACCAGCTGGACTCTATTGGATTGTTTATCACAGGCAAGATAAAAAAGAAAGGTACAGAAAGTGCTCCCCCACTAAAGTCAGTTTCCAATACACAAACTTCTGGTCAAAGTTGAGGAGAAGGAGCAGGCCAAAAGGAAAACACTGACAGTGTACATCCATTGCAAGTTCAAGAGCTGAAGCAATTTACAGATCAAGCCATTTTGATATAACCAATTTAAAGTAAAAGCAGGCAATTTTAGACATTTCATGCAGTGAGCCGGCTTCCAGAAATCTAATATAGCTCTTTCCTATACAGAGTACAAGACTTTGCGTTTGAAGCCAGATGTCTAGCAGACCTGAAAAAATCCAGCATGAAATTTAATAAGTCTGCTGTAACATTTCTTCTTCTCTGACATACTGCTGCAATACTATTAAGATGGCATTAGCAGGGTTTATAAAGCAAACCTGACATAAGGGTCAGGTTAAATATTTGTTTTCTTTGGTTTATTTTTAATTTAATATCCAGCATTTCCAAGAACAAGAGTCAAGAAAAAGTAAGGCTCCTTACTGGTTTTTTGCAGCACTCCAATACTTAGCCATTCAGTCACAAAGAGATACAGTAATTGCTGTAATTTTTCTTCTTATATGTAATGACTCACATTTGTAATGAATTCACATTTGTGAATTCTCTCTGTGAGTTTACTGGCCACTCTTTCCAGGCGAGAGACCATCTGTACTCTTCCCTGATCAGCCTTAGCTTGCAGTAAACTAGCTGAGGACAGACAGGTACACTGTCCCAAATAAACAGCTCCAGCATTGCAGCTGAGAATACCTGGATACCTCATCACTGAGGTGGTAGCCTGTTTCTGCACAATGCATTGTCAACAGTTAGACGTCACTCAATCCAAAAAAGCAGTACTTGGCACATATATAAAACACAGTATTACTACCTTAGCAGAAGTTATTCAGCACGTGCCAGTAGGCTGCAGAAACAATTGCTCCTCTCCAGAGCCTGGAAAACTGGGACCATCAACATGAGAGAAAGCTACAAACCAGGAATAGCAATGGATGGCTAAGATGGTTGTGCAATGGGGTGTGTGACATAAAAGAAGGGGCTGAAAGAACTGGGTTTGTGCTGCCCAGAAAAGAGATGATCAAGTGAAGATCTAATTGCATCTTTCGTAACTGAAAAGAAGCTCACATAGGAGACAGACTTTCTCAAATGTACCCTGTGAAAGGACAAGAGTCAACAGTCACAAGTTGCAACATGGAAAATTTAGATCGAAGATGGGGGAAAACAGTTCTTCACATTAAGAGTGACTGAATATCTAAGCAAGCTGTCTTGCAAAATGAAAACATCCATCATTGGAGATTTTCAAAGGTCAGCATCTCACACTGATCGGATTAAATACCCAAACTTCCACTCTTACTCAATCCACAGATTCTAGGTTTTATTCATAATTTTAATTTTCTCAGTTCAGACAGATTAAAAGGCCTGAATTATAGCAGATTAGGATTTTTAAAGATCCAAACAGTAGAATAAGTTACACCAATGCAGACGTTCTTAGAACAGTTGTGCAGCATTTCAGTGGGTGAGGGCCTCATTTCTATTTAAGGTATAGTGGCATATCAAAACAGTGTTTTCCAAAAAGATAAAATCTGCATTTGACAATGATTATTGCCTTCCACTCACTCTTCTATGTTAATTAAACATATTTACAAAGTAACATATCAAAAATGGTAACTTCCTTGTGTCACTGCTTGATGTGGAAACTTCTGATACATTCTATATCAAAACACTGGCTTTTTGACTGATCTTTTCCAAAGCAGCCTAGCAGTCTGCTTTTGAGCTAGAGAACCCATCTTAGTTTACCTGAACAACTAAACAAAAAACAATAACACCAATACTTGTCAGATATTTTGTTAGCTTGTATTTTTCTTCCAGTATGCTAGTATTTACTGAAATACACAGATTAAAACCACATCCTCACCTCCCAAATGTCAGGGCACTAATGGGGAAAAAAAAAGACATATCCACAAAAGCTGACCACTGAGGTAACCTGAACTCAAAAATCTGCCTGACCAGAAAGTACACAATGCCTCTAACAGTAACTGTGACTCAGAGCTTCATTTCTAAATAAATACCTTTGCTTGTCTGTTTCTCCCACCCAGCCACATGCACAGGGACTCATTATGTTAGCAAATTATTAAGACTAAGAGTTAATTTAGAATAATAAAGCAACCACTACATAACTGGCATCAAGGATCAAATAATTCAGTTTGTATTTCACTTAGAAATTCATTATTGCATGCCACTAACTTTTCTCAGAATTGAGCATATCTCTTTAACTGCAAAAAGGGATTTGCAAGTCTATTAAACTAAGTTGCTCTTTCAGTGAAGGATGTTTGTCGGTTCTCCATAAGTAGACATATAGCCAGAGAATGTAGCTGCATTATAATGAAAAGGTCATAAAAAATTTCATGTAAAATGCAAAATGCTATTTTCATTTGAGCTCTAGTACCCAGAATGCACAAAGCAGAGCTAAAACTTAAAATTCAATTAAAATTAAACAAAATTGGTATGAAGTAACATTTTCCTTAAGGTCAAAATGTGATATCTTTTTACAAAAGAGATAAAGGAAACAATTATATGGACAAAAAGTAAAAATCTCAAACTTCTTGAATCTTCAGTCACACACAGATTAAGCCATAAATTCATTAAGAAAACATTAACTTTTTTTTATGTGTATTTATTTATATACTACGAAAAGATCAGCTTCCAAGTTCTTCTATGTACTTGGTCCCAACTGAATTGTTCCTAACTTAAACCTCAAACATCAGCACACCTAGAAGTCCCTATTCAACTTCATTAAAAGCCAGAAAACATAAGCATATTATGTTTCAAGTTTTTGGGGATGGGGAGAGGATCCTTCAAATTAGAAAGTTCCAATAGCAAAATGATTCCAAGTTGTAGCAACAGAAATCTAAAGCCCTACAACAACATGCATCCCTTTCCCAAGAGTGTTTCAAAAGAAAAGCACATATAATTAAGCATGAATTTCCAAGAGTTGGAATCTAGAGTATAAGTTATTCCTCCTACACATTTCTGTTAATTGTTTTACTCAAGTCAGCTCTGCAAGTGAAATACCGAGCCACTGAAATTTGTCACCTCTCTCAAATGACACATCACTGCAAAGATAGCAGGTATAAGACTGCAGTCCAGAAACACTTAAGAGATGTCTACAGGAAGAACATAATATCCATAAAGTAGACTAAAAGAGATTCATATTATCCTGTAACATAAACTTTTAACTATAAAGTTATGCTACAATAGCCTTCCCTTCAATTCTGATTAGATTGCTACTGCTCAGATTAAGAATATTTGAAATTCACCTCTATTTTGCACATACAGCATCATACTTACTGGAAATTTGCCTTTTGAATAATCAGCATTTAATTATTCTAAATGCAAAAGGCAAGCTATTTTCATAAACATCATGACAATCATTCAAGCTTTTGATGCATATTTATTGCTCTTCCACTTTAAAGTTTAGTACAGTCATATGTAAATAATAAGCTTAAGTGAAAGCAGTATGGATCTATTTTGGCAAGAACTAATTATTAAAGTTCCATTCCACTATACAGTTTGACCACTTTATATGTAAACAAGAATTACTATAGCTGTCAACCAAAACAAGACTATGCCAGTTTTGCTTTTAGCAAGGAAGACTCACAAACCTCCACCCATCCTTCGCGAGGTAGCTGAAGAGTCCATCCACGACACTTGCAAAAAACTGCCCTCCAGTGATGAATAGAGTGTTAATGGTGACTAATCTGCCTCTTAGGTGCGGTGGGGCAACTTCTGCGATGTACACTGGCACAGTCATAGATGCTACACCTACAAGAATAAATTCAGTTACAGTTATAAAATTGAGAGAGACGCTACATTGCTTTTTCATCATAAAATACCATTTTGTGCTGGTTTGGGCTGAGGCAGAGAATCTTCTTCACAGTAGCTGGTATAGGGCTATGTTCTGGATTTGTGCTGGAAACTGTGTTGATAATTCGGGGATGTTTTTTTACTGAGCAGTGCTCGCACAGAGTCAAGGTCTTTTCTGCCTCACACCCCACTCCTCCAGCAAGGAGGATGGGGGTGCACAAGGAGCTGGGAGGGGACACAGCTATTTGTGCAAAAGACAGAAATGCCCACGAGGAACACACACAGGAGGACACACACACACAAACTGTAAAAACAGAGTTCAAGAGTATAAAGAGCAGAGCTGGGTGTGGCACATGCTTTGGTGGTCCAAATCCACCAACAAAGTTGCGCTCTCATTTAAAGCAAATTATATCCTTATTTCCTTAAAAGAACCTACAGTGACAACCAACGGCAATTTATTTTGTAGTTAAAACTTGAAGTACATCGGCAACACATGCTCAAAACACATTTCAGCTGAAGTCAGATGAGTTACAACTTGAGCACAGCGAGCACAGCCAAGCACCATCAGACACCAAAACTTCCAGCCTGGGACAGCTCCAATGAGTCCACATGGACTCACACCAGCACGGGCCAGCGCCACAGCCTCGGCAAGAAAAGGGGTCAACTAAAGGCATGCACATGACTTCTGAAGCACAACTACAGTTCCTGGCTCATGTCACAGTAGAAGGGCTTCATCTTAAAACGGCGGGGGCTTTGGCCAGCTCCCCACTGCCTGGCTCACTCACCAAACTAAGAGCACAAAACCATCTTTAGCAACAAGGTTAGCCTGACAGGACTGCTGGGAGCCTCCAAAAGCTCAAGCAAGGAATATATATTGTTTAATAATAAAATGGCATCAGAAGATCCTTTGTTGCGATAGGTAAACACTCACAGCAGCCTCTCAGCATGAGAACCCAGTTCCTGGCAGAGTCTCCCAGGACACACCAATGATGCCTCCTCCTCCTCCTATTGACTGAGCAACCCACACGGAATAAAAAACCCACATAAAAGTGTCAGGAAAAAAAAAAAAGCATTAAAAATTTATTCAACCACTTTTCAAAGCCAACCAGAAGGCACCATGGAAAGAAGCATTCAAATAGTCCTTTGCATGTTTGACAGAGAAGTAAATATTCAAGCACAACTCACTATTAGGGATATTTTTCTCGCACCTTTCATGTCAGTATTTGAACTAATGATAATCAAAGTGATGGAGACAGTGCACATACAAGGGAAAAGCCTTTACAGGAAAGCACAGGAGTGTGTCCATTTGCTGCAAAGAAAAGCCACTGAGAACCCATCCAAGGCAGTGGCTGCCACTGGGGCAGAGGGGAAGTGCCCTATGGCTGTGGCAGCCCTGGCCCAGGGAGACTGGGCTTTCCCAGTCACCCCTCTGCCTTGGGTGTGCCACCCCACATGCCCATGCTCATTCCCCCGCTGCAGTGTGGCAGTGTGGCCATCTTCCCATATATCTTAACATACAGTCCTAAGAAGAATATCTTGAACGTGGGTAATGATGTAGTGAGGCTAACTTGAGAGGTAAAGATGGAAACATCTGCATGTGTTTTTCATTGTAAAGCAGTAGGAAACCAAAACCAATATATGCCCTGTAAAAAAGCTACTTTTCCCCCTCATTCAACTATTAATGAAGACTGATTTTACACAGAACCTGCAGAGAAATCTTGTTCAAAACATACCAGACAAAAACACTTCTCTGGCATCCAAAAAGTAGAGCCATGCCATTGACCAGATCATCAGCTATCACTAATGTTCAACACACATCATCAGCCCTGAGAACTACCAGCTAGAACCACTGGTAGCCACAGCTAACATGACACTTGCTACATACAAGGGAAACTAAAGCTTGCTGCATAACATAAGGGTAGTATGAAAGTTAACATGTCGGTGAACAGTCTTGAACAAGAGGCATGATGACAACAGATTTACTGTTTCTGCTGCATTCTTTCCACACAGTTAATGGTTACAGGAATAAGCAGAGAAAGGCGAAGTTTGCACATCTCAAGCCAGTGATACCAGCTATCCAGCTGGCATTAATACAATAGCTGAAATTATTTATTATCAAACCTGCAATGAACAGAACAATATTTGTTAGGGAAGCCTAAGGAGTTAAGAGTATTAGTTCAAAATCACACAGAATTGTTTAGATTGACAGGGACACTGGGAGATCATCTAGTCCAACTATTGTTCACGCACGGTCAGCTAGAGCAGGCCGTCCAGAACCATGCTCAGTTAGACCTTGACAATCTCCACATGTGGATCTCCAAGCAAAATGACTCTGCAATTCTGTGGCTTCCACACCAGCTTTCTCACCCTGAGACTTCTCACAGTGTTGCTGTCAGAAATAGCCTTTCTGGATTTCTATTTAGACCTTACTTCCTCTACTGTGCATCCCAAAACCTGTAGGTTCAAAACATCTAAGCAAAAGCCTCAATGCAGAAGACATGTTTGTTACATATTTTCAGTTATCATTTCAATGTCAAAACACATGCTTTTCTATTCTGAGTCCGAAGAGTGCAGCAGGAAGTTTCAGGAAACAGGAAGCAATTAGGAAAGCCTCCTCAGTTTATCTGACTGCCATCCAGCAAGCACTCACACACAAAAGCAAAGTTCTTTCTAAAAAAACCCAACATGAGTAAAAATGGCTATTATGAAACAGACCAAATGAAGGGAAAAAATCCTATCACTTTAAGGAAACAATGCTTTAGATTCCATAGTGGTATTTACATTCCCGATTTGCTTTTAGTTGCCTTAGAATGCGTCAATGTTCTCCAGACTTTCCTCCTCTAATTTCAATTTAACACACACTAGACCATAGGACAGTAAGTTCTTCTGAAAAGGTATAGTCGGAAGCAAGGCATTAAATGTTAGCCAAGTATCAAAATCTCTAAAATACATAACCAGTATTTGTTATGTGATTATTTTAATAGCTAGATATTAAAGAAATTTGAAAAAATTTGCTTTCCTAGGAAAACAAATATGGCTGCAATAGGATCTTTCCTTAATCTTTCATATGAGAATGCTTTCATTTACACTTTATAATATGTTCTCACTGTTAAACTGCTCCCACCAAATAAAAGATTCTTGCTGCAGGCAAGTATATTACTACCTAACTAATAAAGCTGATAAGTGACAAGACATTGGAAAGAAAATTAAAACAATTAACTGGAAATCTGTCAGAGGAGGTTGTGCACCACAGCTATGAAATCTGAGACAAGAGAGTAGGCAAGTCCAGTCTCTCTTCACTTGAGTAACCAAGACATGAACATTTTGTCCTCATTAAAGGATATAGCTTAGAAAAAACATAACTGAAGGTTCCTTAAATTTAGACCAGAAGATGCATCTAACTATTATACAGGAAGCATTAAATCACACAATGGGTTGAAATCATCGTATTAAATGTTTTTTTCACTTCTAAAATCACTTAGGAGACTAATTATTAAGGCTCCTCCGATAATCTGCAGATTTACCACTGGAAAGCAGAGACAAGACAGTACACAGCTCAATTTTAGGACAATCAATAGAATGCAGGTGTGAAAAGACATTTTTAGAATCACATTACCATCCAGAAAGGTATTTCCAGTATGTACATGTAAGCATCATAAAAAATTCATTAAGAAATTCAGGAATGAAGTCAGTAAACCTACTGACAGGAGAGATAAAATGGTCAATAAAGGACAACTCCTATGATAATTAGAATTAAAAATATATTTTAAGAAAGGAAATTAGGTAGCAAAACACAAGGACTAACAAAGGAATCAGAGTTCTTGTTTATAAAAAGCATTTGAGAATAAATGCTAGGGAGACGGAATAATTTTAAAGATTTTTTTTTTTTGCAAGATCACATGGATATAAATGTACCCCTGTCCAGATCAGGACTTACACTACAGCTCCAGTCATGTCTCTAGCAGATAGGAGGGAAGGTGCATCACAAAAACAACAGATGAGCAAAAAAAGCTGGAGACAGGATATTAAATGAGATCCACTTCTACTCCTTGCATAATAAAAAAGCCCTAAGGTAGTAGGGATGTGTCAGTCATTTCCTTGGCATCAGCCAATAACCAGTGTCAGAAGCAGCGAAAACATAGGGAAGGATTCCTGACAAACTGTTGTTGCTGTTCAGATTACTACCCAGAAGGTTCATAAACACAAGAGACAGGTGACAAAAATTGGGTAACTTTAAAAAAAACCCTCATGCATCTCAATTAGCTTTTCATGTTTAGGAATAAAGAGGACTAATGGTGAACTAGAAGTGCTAAGGAAGCACATCGAGGAGCTGGTGTCTCTTTGAGTTGTGGTTCTGTCCCTCCTTCTGTCCAGCAGATGCTGGCCCTTTGCATTAACACCAGGTAAACCAGGGAATACTATCAGCTAAAAGAATATCCACCTGCCTGGTGGGGTTTGTACCACTTGGTTCCCTTAAACAGTTCACAATGAGATCAAAAGACTGTACTGGCCCATAGGCAGGACTAGGTATGACAATGGAGTGGCATGAACTGCCAAAGGACTCAAGACTGTCCAGTTGGAAACCAAAATTAGGATATGAAATAATCAAAATAATCAGAAAAAAAAAGTGAGGATATCTCTGTTCCTATTTGAGAGTAAAGCAATTCAGCCATTAATCTCTATTAACAACAAAGAACACACACAGCTCATTAGAGAAATATGTAGTTAGGAGTTCCAAATGAAAAGGCAAAAATAAAAGTTAAAAAAGGTTTAGAATAGTCATGGGAATGAGGCATCCTTTACTAACACATAAAACTGTACTGAGGTACTTCACCAAGGCAAAATATTTCACATAGCTTAGAATGAATTTGTAAGAGTATGTTTTCATCAAAATGTTAAACTTTAATGCTACCAACTTTAAAATTTTGTGGAGGCAACCTGATGAAGAAGCAAGT